GAATCCACAGCCTGGACCAAACTGGACACTTCCTAAGTTTACTAGTTTCTTTTCATCATCTTCTTTTGAAGATTTGAAGTTTGATTGAAACTCACTAAAGAATACTAACCAGGGTAGGAAAGCTTTCTTTTCTGCAACCCGTGACAACTCATTTCATGCATTTGTGTGTATTCCTGGAGATATGGCTGTACAGTCCCTACATGACTCGCCTCTTAGGATCGTGTTGGAAATAAATGCAGGATCGATAGGAGAGGTTATCGAGATAGTCACAAGGGGATGCTTCTGCTTCAAAACAAAGCAACCCTACCAAAGACCAAGTGTCTAACTATGGACTTTTGAGCTCGAATATAAAGGAAACACATAAACCAACCAGACAATGCCAGGGAGCTTTCACACAGAGGTTGACAGACACTGGGCTGGGTGGAGTAGAAGAGTAACCTGAAGAAAAATGGAAGAAAGAAAAAAACCACCTCTGGCCGAGGCAAAGAAATGACGTCAACTGAGCATTGTCCCTTGGAGTTATCTGGCTGCGGTTTCCGTTCTAACCTCTGGGCACAACCTACTTCCCAGGTTCCTGTGGGAACTTGGGAAATGAAGGGGAAAAGGCAAGTGGACAAGGGGAACTTCCGAAGACAAATCAAAGGCAAGCGCAGGGGGAGACCAGGAGAAAGGGGAAGAGAGCGCAGGGGAGGAGCCGATGGCCCAAAGACGGACCTGGGACTGCAGGGATGGGACTCTGCCCTGCCGGAGACAAAGGGACACCTTCCTCCTGGTGGTCAGGAAGGAGCAAGCCACTGGCTGGTCCTGAGGAGAAAGAAGGGTGGAAGATTCCAGAGCCAGCCCTGACAGGGCAGGAAAGTTGGCCAGCACTGAATCCACAACTAACCGGAAAGACAATTTTAAAACCCAGGCCAAGAAAACAGCAGGCAACTCTATAATCATTATGAAATGCTATGAATGCGTTATTGGGCAATCTACGAATAACAAATGAGAAATAATAAAGAATGCACTGATGGGCACGGTTGAACAAGTGATAAAGATCAACAGTTTCTCGTATATAAAAAATAAACAGTTGAAAATCTACAAGAAGAGGTAATGGGGCGCCTGGGTGCCTTAGTCCATTAAGCGTCGGGACTCTTGATTTGGGCTCAGGTCATGATCTCACAGGTGGTGGGTTCGAGCCCTGCTCTGGGCTCTGTGCTGACAGTGTGGAGCCTGCTTCGGATTCTGTGTCTCCCTCTCTCTCTGCCCCTCCCCTGCTCACACTCATGCTCTCTCTCTCCAAATAAATAAAACATAAAAAAAA